TAACTCTTCTAGTGAATAAAAACAAAATTCGAAACTTGAGTTAAGGCGGCTGCATGACAAAAGCTGATTGCTACGAGACTCTGCATGACAAAAGCTGAATGCTACAAGACTTGATGTAGACTGTAGACAAGACTCGAATAATATGAATTGATTGTTCATGTAATAGAAAACATATTCATGATCACTGATATATAGATGCTCTTAGATTAGATCTTCTAGCGAATTTAAGGCAGAAGCAAATGCTCTGGACTATATAACAGAAGCTGAATGATATGACACTCGGTGGATGGTACATCTAGGCATACCCTTATGGATGATTATGAAACTGTGCTAAACTCTTTCAGTGAATGTTTGCGAGATAATACAACTGCATGACAAAAGCTGATTGCTATGACACTTGATGTAAGCTAGATCAACCCATCAAGCCCTCAGTTCGGTTTCGATAACTTTGTTATCGATTTCGATAACTTTGTTATCGATTTCGATAACTTTGTTATCGATTTTGATAACTTTGTTATCGATTTCGATAACTTTGTTATCGATTTTTGATAATCATATGATTCTTCAGCGAATGAACAGCGAAATCTGGCAGAAGCAAAATGCTCTGAGACTGCATGACAAAAGCTGAATGATATGACACTCGGTGGATGGTACATCTAGGCATACCCTTATGGATGATTATGAAACTGTGCTAAACTCTTTCAGTGAATGTTTGAGAGATAATACAACTGCATGACAAAAGCTGATTGCTATGACACTTGATGTAAGCTAGATCAACCCATCAAGCACTCAGTTCGGTTTCGATAACTTTGTTATCGATTTCGATAACTTTGTTATCGATTTTGATAACTTTGTTATCGATTTCGATAACTTTGTTATCGATTTCGATAACTTTGTTATCGATTTCGATAACTTTGTTATCGATTTTTGATAATCATATCATTCTTCAGCGAATGAACTTGATGTAAGCTAGATCAACCCATCAAGCCCTCAGTTCGGTAACTTTGTAATTCGATAACTTTGTAATGATCCTCATTGCTTACTAAATAGACAACACAATCATATGATTCACAGAAATCATATGATTCTTCAGCAGAAGAATGATGGAGAGACAAAACGTGAAACTTGAGATAATACAACTGCATGACAAAAGCTGATTGCTATGGAACTAGGTGAAAGTTACATCATTGCCAAAGACTGAATAATATGAAGGTTGTGTAAATACTGATCCTCATTGCTTACGAAATAGACCCATTCTCATATGCAATCGAGCAATCGAGTTCCATAAGAAATAATATTGATAACTTTGTTATCGGTTTCGATAACGTTGTTATCGGTTTCGATAACTTTGTTATCGGTTTCGATAACTTTGTTATCGGTTTCGATAACTTTGTTATCGGTTTCGATAACTTTGTTATCGGTTTCGATAACTTGTTATCAGTTTCGAGAACTTTGTTATCGGTTTCGATAACTTTGTTATCAGTTTCGATAACTTTGTTATCGGTTTCGATAACTTTGTTATCGGCTTCGATAACTTTGTTATCGGTTTCGAAAACTTTTTATCGGTTTCGATAACTATTATCGAACGAAACTTGAATCTTGAGCTAAGGCAGATGCATGACAAAAGCTGAATGCTACGAGACTCAATAGAAGGTACATAAATGCCAAAGATTGACTAATATTTCGACAACACAATCATATGATTCACAGAAATCATATGATTCTTCAGCAGAAGAATGATTGAGAGACAAAACATGAAACTTGAGATAATACAACTGCATGACAAAAGCTGATTGCTATGAAACTAGCTGAAAGTTACATCATTGCCAAAGACTGAATAATATTAAGGTTGTGTAAATATTGATCCTCATTGCTTACGAAATAAGCAACATACTCATATGATTCACAGAAATCATATGATTCTTCAGCGAATGTCTGGCAGAAGCAAAATGATCTGAGACTGCATGACAAAAGCTGAATGATATGACACTCGGTACATCTGTACATCTAGGCATAGCCTTATGAATGATTATGAAACTGTGCTAAACTCTTTCAGTGAATGTTTGAGATATAATGATAATACAACTGCATGACAAAAGCTGATTGCTATGACACTCGATGCTAGAAGGTCGTGGAAATATTGATCCCCATTGCTCACGAAATAGAAAACATAATCATATGATTCACAGATTAGGTCTTAGTTTAGGTCTTCTAGCGAATTTATGGCAGAAGCTAAATGCTCTGAGACTGCATGATAGAAGCCTTATGATTGATGAATGAATTCAAACAAATGTGGCGCGTGCTTTGAGGCCATAAACCAAACTATTTATGTATTTTATAATGCCTAATTGATTTGCGGAACAGTTAGTAGTTGTTTCTGTGGCTGCCGCTTGACACCCAAAATATAAACTGTTAAACAGCTGCCGAATTTATCAACCAAATAAAGTTGAGTTTTGTTTGGCTTTTATATATTTATTTAATTTTTTTTTTTTTTTTGGGTATTTCTTATGTGGAGGGAATACGCGCGCGTTGAAAATTTGAAATGGGCTGCGTGCTCGACTTGCCAAATAATTTGAATTGAACGCAAGCCTTGGTGACAGCCGCGTGGCCTAAATAAGAAAACAGTGCAAAGTACTCAAAGAAAAAAAGAAAAGACAATAAAAACGAAAACAAAAATTAAATAAAAAATAAGAGTGCTAGGAGATACCCTAAAGAATATGACATGCCTATTTAAAATGAGTATCTTTATAGTTATAGAAGTATTTAGAAAGATATTCAAAGGGACAACTTCATGTACTTTTTTTTGTCTACCAAAATATGTTGATTCTAGGGCATTAGAATATAGACAACAAAATAAAGAGAAAGAGAGAGAAAGAGAAAGAGGAGACAGCTAAAGTCTGATTCAGGCTTCAGTCGTAAATCTTCAGACATTCTTATTATACTTTATGTCTTCGTCACGCCTCCTTCTACCCGTCACATACAGTTTAACCAAAGTAATGTACCCTGTTTACCCATTTTCAATGAGTTTAGGACATAAAAAATAATAAATATAAAAAGCAACAAAACGTTAAAATTTTTGGCTAATAAATTATAAGTTTATGGTTTTTTTTTCATTTTGGTTTTTAGCAACATTATTCAAATGATTGTAGCAACCTTTTTTTTTGGGCTTTTCATGGCTAAGTTTCACTGTGACCATAAAATGTTTTGTTTTGACTATTAAAATTGAAGTAAAGATGTTTTCGTGAAGAAGAAGAGCGTCTGGACAACTTTCTATTAGACTGGATTTTAGGTTTAAGTACAGCGACATAAAAAACAACTTTGACACGAATTGAAAACTTTTAGACTCAAGTTCTCAGCTGTAGTAGTAGAAGAGAATAGAGACTGCTTTGCCTTGGCTTGGGAACTGAGCTGAGCTGAGGCTACGCTGTGGCTGCATAATTGTGCTGGCATAATTGCATTCAGTAATGCCCTGTATTAGCTCTTTTATTATAGAGCACAGAACACAATGCCTCTGAGAGAGAGAGGCAGAGCGACAGACCGAGAGAGATCCAGTTATGTGGCTTAAACAACGGTTTCTACGCTGGAGTCTGTGCGAATCTTGATTCCTTGCTTGATGCACCCAGCGAAGGTCGCACTTAACTGTCCAGCCAAAGCCAGCCCCAGTTCCGCTAGCTGTATATAAATAGGTTTCAAGGTTATTGCATATAGTTGAACTCTTTGGCGCATGCCAGGCCTATCATATTATTATTGTTGTTGCTGTTGTTGTTTTAGTTGTAGCTGGTGCTTGAACTGCTTCAGCTGCATCGATTTGTCGACTTTCAATTAATGTCATTCAAACTGTGTGTGTGTTTTGGGTTTCTTGATCGTTCATTGTGTATTCCTAGTTGAAACCATAAATCTTCAATCAATTCGAATTGATTGTTTCAATATGTCACAGTTGAAATAACAGTAAATGACTCCAATATAACAATACTCTTTATGCTATGGCAGATGCGCTAAAAATAGTCTGAAAGGACTTCAGATGGCAATCGCCTGTGGTGTTGTTAATAAAGCGCGCTAACTAAACTGCTTAAGTTGCAAACATGATGGAATTCTAGAAATATATATGCATATAAAGGTATAAAGGTATATATAAAACTGTCGTTTCTAGAGTGGTAATTTTATAAGACTGTGAATGGATTAAGGGCGCAATCGGATATTTAGAAACAGTTCCGAATATTGCAGAGTCAAACTTTCTAAGCATGTTCCACATTCAATGCTTATTCAATTTGAATAAGAATTTTAACATATTGACAATTCGCAGAATAGTTCATTCATTGAACCATAATTGAGTTCGTGTCTTAAGTCTTTTATTTCTATTTTCTTTTTTTGCGGTTAGGCTTATTGCTTGTTTCAATCAGCATTCGTCACGCCAATTGGCAATGCTAAGCTTTTACACGTTGTCTACCCACACGCGTTCACGTCTTAAGTCGTTCGTTTTGTTCTGCCCAGTTGAGTCGTAAGTGCGTCGATGATGATGATGATGCTGCTGCTCAGTCAATCAAGCCAATTAATTAATCAATGTCGAAACGTCGAATGAACAGTAGCACTTGGTGCTTTGCTGTCAGCGATGCCAGCGATATCAGCGGTTCACACAGACATAAAAACTGTGCAAAAAAACGTGCTTTAGTTATGCTCATCTAATAGAAAAACAAACATGATCCTAATCATGATCCCAAGCTGTGAATGTCAATGTTTTGGGTGGCTCTGACAGACACAGGTAAAGAGCAACAGATGCTCGCCCATTGATAAGAAGCAGCCAAGGCATTTGCGTACGTGCCCCCTTTTGAAGCGAGTTTCTCTTAAGCATTTGCTCTTTCACTCACTGGCACACACTCGCGCGCTCTCTCTCTCTCGCTCTCTCTTGTGACTGGCCATGGTCAGGTTGAACACATTTCTTTGCTGTTCGCTTTGCATGGCTAATGGAAATGTTATAAAACAGCCAAGCTGTGCCCAGGCACAATTCAGTTCGTTTTCAGTCGTTGCCTGCTTGAGTTCTTTAAGGTGCGTCAAGTGTAGTTTTTTTCTGGCTCAAGAACGAAAATCTTGAAGCCAAGTGCGTGTGCTCCTTGAAGCAGCGTTTACAAAAAAATATATTTAACAAAAAACCATTAAACAACTTGGCCGAGTTGGCATTTAGCTTAAGTGTGTGTGTGAATGTGTTTGCTGTATCTGATTAAAGCTCGATTCTACGCTTGATAACACAGCGCCTTTTGTCTCTGTTCGCAGTTCAAGGATATAACTCAAGGCTAGCCTGCACCGGCGTTGACAACGAGCAACTTAAAAAAAATCAAAAAAGAAAAAAATTACAAAAATTGTTTAGCGCAAAAATGCGTCTCATTGTGGTAAGTACTTATGGCCGAAACCGGAGAACAAATTACGCTTACTAAATTTCAACATAGAGTGAAAAAAAAACTAGTTTAATTCTGTTTCAATTTTGCTGTTGTCTTCTGTGCTATATGTGACCGCAATTAATCATTTATTAGCGTCGCTGAAGTCATTAACTGGCGCAAGTTCGTGCCTTAAGTCTTTCTGTGCCTTTTTCGTATTTAATTTGCGTTTACACTCAGCTCTAAACTTTCACTGGCTGATTCTTCTTGCCAAGATTCTTTTTGCTACCAAGTTGAGTTAGCTGTGAAATCAGTCTGAGTTTCTTTTGGCCCATATGCAAATATCTGGTTCAGCAGCTCATCAGAAAACCAATTTGCTAATTGAAAATAAAAATGGAGAAATAAAGGGCAAAAAACTGAAGAAGCAGTTTAGAAGACTTTTGTTAAATTGATCTTTTAATGTGATAAAAAATAATTTTAAATGAATTGTTATTAGGTATACTATTATAATTAAGAATCATTAAGCATAGAGTTGTATGCTTTAATTTATAAACTTTTATATTGTAGGCTAAGATATATCAAGTATAATATTGATTGTATGTTATATGTTATATTGAAAAAAAAAATTATTAATTTAAGTGAAATACTTAATATATTCCATGACATATGAATCTTCGTATAGAAAACTTATAGATGAAAAGTGAAAATTAATCAGCACGTCTTTATGGCAGACACTTCTTATAGCTTACGTATTACGCGCTGCATTATTCATTTTCTATTCAACAAATATAACAAAAAGAAGCAGAAAACACGCCCTAAAATAAAGTAGAAATGCGTCAGCGTCCGGCGCGACATATTTAATAAACCTTATGAAAAGCCCAAAATAAAATATTTTAATTATATCTGCATACCTCACACCCTCTTATATACATATAAATGTATATATGTATGAAGAAAAATCAATATGCTACAAACGTAGGCTAGGCATGTGCGTAGGAGGCCATGACAAATGGCCAAGTGAAATAAAGTTCTCGACCATTAATTGGCGAGAGCTGGAGGAACAATAAAAGAAATACTTTGTAACGCCCCACTCTCTGCTATATGGAGGGCCATAAATTGGAGTTATAAAGTTATCTCTCGCCATCGATTGCACAACATAAATCAAAGGAACTTTAGGGACGGGTCGATGGCACTAATTAATCTTCATTTGAAAGACTTGTTTAAGCTGCAGCAGCAGCACCAGCAACAGTAGCTATTAATTAAGCTGAAAACCTGAGAACTACTTAAAAATAAAAATGATTTGCATTTTGAAATATTTTCTTTCTGTATTTGGGCAACATTAACCCAGTTTTGAAACACGCCCAGAACAAACGACTCCAGCAAACAATCTGTATAATAAATAAATCAGAGCCAAAAGAAAGCAACCACAAATACATCTTGGTTCGAAGTCGTGGCTAAATGCAGGCATTGCTTGCAAATACAGAATACAAAATAACTCTGAAATATCTTCCCAGCTGGTCCAGAGCTCGTTTTTGGTAACAAGAACAAACGCTTAGGCGGAATATCTGTAGCTGGGTCAATGACACACACCAAGCTCAGTGACATTGCGGCTTTTGATAGATGAAGTTGCCGTGTCCGATGACAAGCTAACGGACCAGCTGGTCGTTTGGTTGCTGGCTGGGTGGATGCTGTTGCGTCAATATTGATTTTGCAAAAGAAGCGAACAAAGCAAACACTCGGCGAGCATGGCTTGATGGTTCTACTGAATCGGGGCTCGGTTCTTGAGCAGCGAAAAGCTGTGAAAATAGCTTGACTAAATGGGCTTGGCTCTCACTTTTCAGCTGAAGCTTAGCGAAAGATGCTGGAGAAATGAAATGAAATGAAATGAAGTGCTTGACCGCATTCTTAGACCTTGGCAGCTGGCACGCGGCATAATTATAAGTATTTATTATATACACTATATATACATATGTATATATATAAATATATATTTGAGTTGGTATAGGCATCTATAGAAATATGAAATATAATAGGTTTTGTTTATTGTGTATTTCTATTATTTAACTGCCATTAACTTGGGAATTTGTTAAAATTACTCTCTCAACTATAAAGGTCATTAGCATCTAAATTAATGAATAGTAATTCAGTTGCATAATGAGCTTATTCATTTATCTCTCTCTCTTCAATCCACCCTCGTATATCAACCTATATCAATCATAATTCAATTCTTACTCCTCTTTTGCAGTTCTCAACACTTTTGCTTGCCTCCTGGGCAGCTGGCCAAGCTTTGGATGCCGTCGAGTAAGTAGCTCGCAATTCTTTCGCCGATTGATTTCTATTAACCTTTGCCTTGCCCCGCCTTGCCTTGCCTTGAGCTGTGACAGTGTCATCGTAATGCTCCTAGTAGTAGCTGTCTGTGTATTGTGACTAAAACAAAAAACATTATAGAATTGTGTGACCAAGCCACTCATTATCCGTATATAACACCTGCTAATCGCATTAGTTTACTAATCATGCCAATACGATGAGACCAAAAACAAACCTAACTTTCGTTTGCAGAATTCAAAGGCAAAAACTGATCAAATTTCCCGAGGAGTTTGATCCGAATGTGGAGCCGCCCACGTCCGACAAAGCGGACGAGGCCAAGCGCATTCTCGACCAGATCGCCAAGGTGAACGAGGCCTTTGGCTATGTGAAGAAGAAGCCCGATCAGCCAAAGCTGCCGCCCATACTCGACTCCAGTCAGTATCTCTTTCCCAAGCCCGCCCAGCAGCCCTTCCACGCGCAGAAGCATCACTTCTCTGGCAGCCAAGGGCAAACCTTGCTGGAGCCCTCCATAAGAGCTGTCAAGCTAACGAGGAATGTTGTGGATGGAATGTCGAAAGAGCAAAAGCAACAGCAGCAGCGGGAGACGCTCTACTTCCGACCCAATCAGGTGCAGCTGCCTCAGCCAAGCTCAGCACAGGAGGCACAGCAGCTGCCCGCCCACTTTCTCATACCGGTGCATCTGTACAAGCTGAACAAGGAGCAGTATTTGCGAGAGCATGCGCCGCACGAGTATCGTGTCAAGGGCTACAAGATAATTGGCGATGTGGACAGCTTTTATGGCAAGGCGAAGGCCATGCTGCACGAGAAGAACCAGAAGCAGGGCAAGACAACGCCCAAATACCATTTGTTCTTTTTGCCCCGCGAGCTAGCCTTAAATGACGATGGGACGCCCAAGCGTGGCAAGCCAACAGCAACAAGCACCACCACCACTACCTCCACCACCACCACCACCAAAGGGCCCAGCTCTAGCAAGGAATCACGCTTCGACTCGCGTGAGAAGCCAATACATAAGCCACAGCAACAGCCACAATCCCAGCAACAGCAACAGTCGCAGTCACAGTCTACTCCTTCCCGCATGCCTGCCATTGCCACGCCTGAAGCGAATGGCAACCGCAAGCGGACTAGCGGTAGCACCACTAAGCCATTGCGTGGCAGCAGCAAGGATGCAGATCAGAATCAACAGATACTGACCAGCTCATCCAGTCTCAAAGTGAACTCTGCCCCAAGCCACAGTAATGTGGCTCAGCAGACCACATTGCCGCCCACAGGCGGGCTGATGCCAAATCGCAATCGCTTGAATGTCTTCCGTGTGCCCAGCGTCAATCTGGCCGAGATGCAGAACCAGACCTCGACAGCCATCAAAAACGCCTTTCAGAATATTTTCAAAATGCCCTTCCGCCAGCCCATCGCGCTGACAGGAACAACAGCTGTACAGCCAGTTGTGGTGCAGAGCGGAGCTGTAGAAAATTCCGACATGTTGCAGGATAGCCAGGATGATTACAAGTGGGACGATGAGCGGGAGGGCGGCGGCGATGGCGATGGCGATGGCGACATTGATACTCTTGAGCAAATGGAGAATACGGCTGCCGAACAGGATACCAGCGCGGGTACAGAGAAGCATCTGTTTGTACACAAGAAGCACCACCTAATGGACACCATTGGTACAGTAGCCACCGCTCATCATGGCACTCAGAAGCAGGCTCTGCGAGAGGGCGGCATCATCATTCAACGCCTGAAGGTGCGCAAGGGTGGCATTGCCATTGCGGGGCCAGGAGGCGTGGCAACAGCAGGTAGTGGCGGTACTGCAATTGTAGGCCCCGGTGGCTATGCCCTGACCCACCCGCGCAGCTTAACCATTGCTGGCCCCGGGGCTAAGGTTATTTCCATACCTGCTGATGTGGATCTGAAAGATGCTCTCCAGCGCACAGATGTGGATGCAAAAAGCTTTCCACGCGAGGGTAAGGTGGTGGCCACAGGGCCCACCGTCTACTACGCACCACCAACGGGCATGACGATGGAAGATGAAGATCAGGAGGAAGTGCAGGAATTTGAAGCCTTACAGTAGCTTGATTGTTTAACTAAAATCTGTCGCCAGCCCTGATTTTCGAATTAGACTCATCGATCGATAGGGCTGCCAGATAGTTAGGAATTGTGGCTGCCGTTTAGCTATGTTCGATTTTATACCTAATGACTGTTAGTATTTTTGTATAGCGCCTAAGTATTGGTAATAAATGTTTGTATTTGTAATTTGTGCATTGCTTTCATCTGTAATCAAATGTAAATAGCTGCTACGCCTACTAACACCGCACACACACCGCAAAGCCTTCGCATGTAGTGATAACAAAATATTTTAGACTAAACCCCAATTCGAGCTGTATATATTGTATATATTACGAGACTAATGGCTATCCTCAACTCTCTTACTCTTCCTATGAAAATTCCTTTCCTCAATTCGAATATCCTAACCAACATCTAATCAAGTGCGAACACATACTGGCAGACCACAAGCTTTGAGACGTGGCCGGCGCACAGTCGGCTGCAGCCGCTGGTGAACTATGAGGCACCCGCTGCAACAAAGTCAGTCAGTGCACAGAAGATAGTTGCAGCTCCAGTTATGGACAATATCCTGAAACCCTATGGCGCCTTCAAAGGAGCTGCCCAACCGCAGCCAGAGAAACTTACAGTAGACAAAGCAGCTGAAACAAGAAGTTCAACACAGTTCGCAGCTCTAACGCCATATGGTGCTCTTAAATCTACCATACATGGCAATCTGTTGTTGTTAAACTCACCATATTATGCTGCCTATAGTCTGCCATTCGCTTATGTGGCGCCATCTGTGGGTACAGCAGCCGCAACAACGCCCAGTACAACAACCAGCACAGCAAAGCCTGAAACCACTGACGATATTCCAATTGAAAAAGCTGAAGAAGAAGAAACAACCGAAGACACCATTGAGACATTGCAAAAGCTGCGAGCGAAGCCACAAACCTCAGCTGGTGATCTAAAAAGCGATACTCGCTTACGCGCCGCTGTTAGTCGCATCAATTCAGACTATGTGATCGAAGAGATTATCTCCGTGCCGGGCAAGCATATATTGTCCAGCAGCTCTCGCTCCATCAAACCACAGACGAAGAAGGCAACAGCTGCCAAGCTGCGCAAAGGCAGCGGCAAACGGCCACCCGTCAAAGTGGAAGCCACTGGACGCACCAGCACCAGCTCAAAGAACTTTCCCCAGATACCATTTGCCAACTACTTCCTGCCCTATCATCCCGAGCAGGCACAGGCCATACAAGGACGCAAGCAGGCGGCGCTCATACTAGAGCCCCACTCCAAGGCTGTGGTAGGCAACGGAGGTACCGCCATCTCCACGCCCATCTCCAGGGCGCTGCTGAAGAAGGGCGTGCCCACCAATGTGTACTTCAATCCGGAATCGGTAGCCATTGCTGGCGTGGGTGGTAAAGCGCATGCAGCGGCCGATCTGGAAATCGATTTGTTTAACTGAAGCGGAGTCTAATCCACTGGAGACATATCTGTCTCCAGCTATGTAGTTTAGTGTAGAGATCCATATGTTCCTATCCTATCTCTCTCGCTCTCTGTAGTTGTAAATAAAGATGTAGTAAACTATTTGGCTTTCTACCTCAGGAATTGTCGACGCTTGCTCACCATCCGTAGAAATTGTTGCCCCATTGCTTCTCCTTATCCACGCTTTATCCCTGCACTATAACACGCAGAATTGTACAGGCAAATGCCGCACTTCACTTCCATAGCACTTTAACGAACTCTATAAAATTTAGACACAGATCGGCTGGCTCCAGATTCGGCCCACTGATCTACCAGGATCAGCTGCCCTACTATGGTGGTTTGAGTGGTCAGGTGTTGCTGCTGCAACCGCAGCAAGACGGCAGCATCCGCAGCAGCATTTTGCAGCGTCAGCAGCCGCACCCCAAGGAGGCAGACGACACCATCAGCATTTCGGCAGCCAGCATCTCGGCAGTAGCCAATGATAGCCCCGTCTCCTCCATCTCGGCCAGCGGCAGCAATTTCAATCGCATTCAGGAAGCAGCCGCTCGTCTGGTGGCCATACAGGAGCTGGCCAAACGGAAGGGCTCCTTCAGCGAGGAGGACAACAAGATCTATGCCAACAGTTTGCTGGAGCTGGGCCAAGCGGCTACAGCCTTGGCTCTGCTGCAGCAGAATGGACAGATCAAGGATTTCAGTGTGCTGCTGCAGCCGGAATTGTTCGGTGTAATGCCGCAGAAGCAACCCTCAAATCTGGGCCTGGAGGCCAACAATCCAGCGGATCAGAAGATCGATGACCACAAGCTGGAGGAGGTGACCGAGCAGCAGCTGTCGCCCGATGACATTTTACCGCCCCCCGCCGAGGATCCCTACGAGGATGTGAACGACAGTGTGGCTGTCATAGCGCCCAAGAAGGATGCTGCTGTGGCTGAAGCCAAGCCCGTGGGTAAGTCTGGCCAAGCTTAGGTTATTTAACTAATAAGCTAAGCTAATCTTTATGCTAATTGCTTTTTTAGGGGTCTCCATTGCCGGCGAGGGCGGCGTTGCCTCCTCCAAGCCCAATGCCGTTGCGCTCTCGGGCCGCAATGGCCTGGCTGTAGCCTCACCCAAAGCCACGGCCATTGCGGGCGTTACGCCCGAGGAGGCGGCTGCGTTCAGCATTACGCTGCCATCACGCAACCAGCTCGTCATCAAGACGTCCAATTCCCAATCAAATGACGATTACGACTACAGTGATGCCCCAGTGGCTGTCTCCACTTTTCCACGCGTGCGCGACGCACCGCAGCGACCCGATGCGCTCGTCGAGAAATGGCGTGTGGCCATTGCCGAGGAGTACGCAGCCAGATCCAAGGAGCAGCAGGCCCAAAAGCCAATCATACGAGCAGCGCCCAAGCGACGCCTGCACCACGAGTAGAGGAACACGCCGAGGAGTAGCCTCTCGCCACTGAGCATGAATCATGAAATTTTCTATGTACATCCAAATTGCCAATAAAGAGAAGAGAAAAAGATTTGCGTATCAAATTCATTCGGCCATTGAACCTTTGATCTTGGCAACACTTTGGCTAAAATCTAAAACCTTTTTTCTGTTGCCTGCCAGCAGGGGCTACAGCTGCGATGCATATCTAATAGACCAGCAAGCTGTGATTATATTTTAAAACGAAATAAATTTTACTAAAAAAAAAAAAAAGAAGGAAGGAATAGGAAAAGAAGATATATATAAGGGAGCCCAGCCAGAGAAGGAGTTGATATAAGATATAAGTACGAGCTGGCAAGCGCATATCTTGATTAATCTTTTCCGCCAGCAGGCGGTGCAGGCAGCATAAAAATAAATCTAGCCAATGGGCCAGGTGGGGGTGAGGCGAGGCGAGGATGCGCGAGTGGCAGTCAAGCTAAATGCGCTGCACAATGTATTCAATTTGCACCTGAACCAGTTTCCCAGTTTCTAGCCATTGCCATTGCCATTGCCATGGCCATGGCCATGGCCGAAGCTCCCATGATGGTCGTCGTGAGTGGCTGTCAATGCGCTTGCAGCGCTTGACTTCTATTACAATGCAGGTTTAACAAACTCAGCTTGACCAAAAGCGCACACCAAAGCGAAGACCAAGACGAAGACCAAGACCAAATCGTAGCGACATACGTGCAGCACGTACAACAACATCTACGTTGACCATCTGCCATGGCCAGAACCTGGCTAGCTGCTAGCTGCCGGCTGCTGCTGGCTGTTGCCTGCAAACCAGAAAACCCTCTTCTGTGTGCAAGTGCAAAACGAGTACGAATAGTGAGTGCGAATGCGAGTGCGAGTGTGAGTGTGAGTGTGAGTATGTGGTATGAGTGCTTGTTATTGTTGTTATGCTCAACAAGCCATTGAAAATGTTTGAACCGGATTGAATGGTTTTTTCCGACTGTATGTAAGATGCAAAGGGGGCGTGGTTGATGGCGTGTAGTATGTATAATACTGATCAGAAATGATAGTAGAATCATTATCGAGCTGTCTCCTTGGGATACATAAAGAGTAGAATCATTATCGAGCTCTCTCCTTGGGATACATAAAGATAGCATTATCTCCTCATTGTAATAAAATTTCTAAATGTAATTCCTTTTGTAAACATTTACTACAGGGTATCTTCTAGTCTGGCATTTTCGTAACAAACACTCTTACTTGTTGTTGTTTTTATTGTTGTCGCTTTAGCTTAGCTAACTTTGGTCATTTGCCGCCTGCTTTGCGTGTACTCCTTTTGGCTATCTTGGCTATGCCACTCCCTCCGCCCCTGCCACTGCCCATGCCCCTGACCATGCCCCTGCTCCTTCCATTCCCACCGCACACTATTCCTGCGGGAAGCTGCAAATGTTGCAGCTTGTTTTTCAGCTTGGGCTTCAGCTTGCTGTGCTGTTTCTTCTTCTTCCTCTTCTACTTCTTCTTCCTCTCCGCCACCTACCAATTGCAGCTCTTTGTTCTTGCGCTAGGTCAGTTAGGCAAGCGAGCACATTATAAAAGGCCCATGGCAGCCAGCATTGGCCACCAGTTTCCTTGAAGTGGTCGGCGTGTCAAGACTGAGCCACTCAGCCACAACCACCAACTCCAAACCACACACAACATTTGTGCCAAGTCTCAAAGCAGCATCGCTTGTGTTACCATTCGCCATCTAAGTTAACCGTTTTTTGTGCCGGATTAAAGTGAGCTGCTCGCGAAGAACCAAATCTCTCGTACAGAAGCGGCAGTTGCCATCAGGTAAGCTCTCTAGATGTTTTTTGTGTTATTGCCTCTAATGTGGTTTAATGTCGTGCCCTAAGCTCGTTTAGAAAGTCCATGTCCGATGAACTAAGCTCAGTAGGCGCGACAAAGCGTCAAATAGGAAAGCGAAAATTAGACTTGCTAAGATCTCTTTATGAGGGCATTTTTTATATATTTGTCGTTAAGTTAACTGAACGAGTTGTTTATCTTAGCGATAGACATCTCTCTGTGGAAGGCATCAAAAATATATGCATATAATATATAAACAAGTATCATGCAACCTATTCAATTAAAACCACTTTAAGTCTTTTCGTTAGAAAATTTAGTTTCCTCTAGTCTTAATATATTGGCTCATGGGATCTTAAAGGAATTTATTAAATATTAACTCATATTAACATTACAAGAATAAATAAACTACTAAATATTTTATTTTTCTGACTAAACAGAAAAATATTTAAAAATATTGTATATACATTTTTAATAAATCTCTCAGTGAACATTTTACATAGTTCAGATCAGAAATTCAGTTTTATAAAGAGTTTTTTATAGAAATATTACACAACTGTAATTTTCTTAGTTTTGGCCACTCTTTTGTTTATATTCATAAATATTTCATTCAAGCTAATTATTATTTTTCATTTTATTTATAAAAGTTTCTTATAAAGAAACAAAATGAATTTCATGGAGTTTAAGTTTTTAAAGTTTCAATAAATTAATGGTTGATAATATTTTAAATTCGTTAAATTTAATGACAAATTTTGTTTAATATTAATTTTTTTAATACATCAATAGATTGATTTAATTTATGTATTTCTAATAAATTCACTGAATTGATAATAAACCCCGACTATAGAGATTCTATGCTTTCGCATATTTTTCCTTGAGGTATTGACAATCATATTATCATGCTCTACATCATCTAAAATATAAGAAACTTAAAAAATGTTTACAAAATATTTCACTTTAGACAAGAATTATCTGCTTGTCCCTCAATAAAAACAAGTTTTCTTAGTTCGAGCAACTAATGGGTACTACAATATTTGTCGTTAGATCACTATGCACTCCATTTATTATGAGCAGAGTAAGAGAGAAAACGTCTGCAAATTCCTCCAGTAAAAATGCCTTAGGTCAGTTTCAATCAGTTTGCTCAGTTTTAGCATACTTGCTAACAGACATTCTTGCCTCGAGCAATGCACAAATTAAGTTTCCAGTTCAATTAGTAGTTGCAATATTTTTCCCTTCACTATCAAGTCAAGCTAAAGAGGAATGAAAAAAGCGGCCCAACGCGCTTACAGAAACCTCTGAACTATTAAAAACATTTTCAAGTTCTAAACGCTGCAGTTGCTGCAATTGCCACGCAAATGATAGGGAAGAAGAGACGGTGGGATGGGTTGGCTTTAAATAGAATATGCGCGAGTAATAAGACTTGGGGGAATTTGATGCCCCTCGGAGAGATATGATCAGGAAAGCGAAAAACCAGTTATTAGCCGAGCTGCAATCAAAAGAGTTGGCCAAGAACTTGGTCTGGCAATTGCAGCTGAATGGCTCGAGTGGATTGCTCGACTGCAGCCAGAGAGCACATTGGACACTTTATGTGTACACCAGAATTGGCTGCTTCAGAGCTTTTCCAAGAGCCAATCAAACCGCAAACCGGTTAATAGTTCGCATCCTGTGGCACATACATGCAATTATAATGTTTAAATTTAGAATGGACTTTGGTTGGCCGACTATAAATAGCTAGCCAGGGTAATACCAGTTTAGCAGCAGCAGCGGCAGCAGCAGCTATCAAGCTAATGCCTGGCATAGACAACTGTAGCTAAAGCCTTTGCTCTTCCCTCCCCCCTCTTAGCATAATGTTCATCTTTGCGCTTGTCTGCCTGCTGGCAGTGGGCAGCCAGGCGAAGCCACTGCAGCAAGTCGTGGAACCGGCCCAGCATATTGTCATTGTGACGCCTCAGGCGCAGGTGCACCTGGAGCCAGCGGTGCGCTACGTGCACGGCTTGTCCCCATTGGCGCGCGTCTCGGGGCCTCATCATGAGGAGACCATTGTCTATGTGCCAGCTGGAGCTGCAGCCTCTGTGGTGCCCACTCTGGGCGATGCCGCGTCCACTGGCCGTGCCAGCAGCCGCAGTCCAGCACAGGAGACCAGGCAGACTGAGGGCTTCCCGAGTGTCAATCAAATCCAGCAGCAGGTGCAGCAGGGCGTTGAGATCGTAGGCGGACAGTTGGGCGAGGCTGCTGAATCAGCAGCTGCTGCCGGCGCTGGCTTCTTCCCCGGCTTCTTCCCCAGCCCGGGCAACAAAAACGAAGAGTTGCAGAAGCTGAAGAACGAGAAGATCGAACTGATTGAAACTCCGGCCAATACCCAACCACTGCTGGCTGCCACCGAGGCGCGTCACTTCTACAGTCTGCCTCAGGTGTATCACACGCCCGTGGTCGATGTGGTGCATACCCCTGTCTACTCGTGGCCCATCTCAGCTATACGGGCACGCAGCATTCAAACCGATGAGGCCCCCATCCAGGCCACTGAGGAGAAGACATGGCCAGACCTACCAGAGCCTCAGCCACTGCTCAAGGAGCAGAAGCAGCCAGAGCAATCGGAACAGCCATTGGATCAGCTGGCACAGACCATCATTCCTGCAGCCGTCGAGGCCAGTGAATTGAAGGCAGAGATTGCGCCACGTCAGCTGGAAGAGAGCAATGCTATCAAGGTGGAGCAACAAAGTGAAGAAAATATTAAGCCAACTCTTAAGGACGCGCTTCAGGAAACCAAAGCCGGCTTCGCCGAGCCAGCCATCAAGGAAGCCCCCAAGGAGGCCGAGAAGGAAAGCATACCGGAAGCCATCCCAGAGGCCAAGAAGGAAGCCCAACCCGAAGCAAGAAAGGAAGTCGTCCAGGAGGCCAGGAAAGAGGCCAGCCAGGAACCCAGTTTCGAGGCTCGCAAGGAGTCCAGTAACGAGAATAACGAGGAGATCAAAGCACCCATTCTGAAGTCCGATGAGGGTAGCTTAAAGGAGCTAATTAAGGAGACCAACCAGGAGCTCATCAAAGAGGCCATCAAGGAGCCCCTCAAGGAGACCATCAAGGAGCTCATCAAGGAGGAAAGTGAGTAGGAAATTTAAAAAGAAATTGAAAACTTTTATTCATTGCGTGTACACATTTACTTTGTATTTTCTGCATAATTAGTCAAGGAAGAAATTCCTTTGCTCAAGGCCGCAGCCCTTCCCGTTGCCGCTGCCATATCCGCTGAGGCCCAGCAGCAAGCGGAGGCACAGCCTGAGGCTCAGCCAGCCGCCATCGAACAAGGGACACCAGCAGCAGCAGCAACAGCAGCTTAGGTAGCCACAGCCATGAGATCAATTCACATCGCATCAAACCACATCGAATCGCATCACACACACATAGAGACACATACACACACTCATACACAGATATTCTATATGGGCAACTTTGGTATTCTACAACTCGATCTGTTCCGTGTCTAGGCTCTGCGCCAGGCCGTGGGTTAATACATTTAGTTACTAACACAGTCACAGCGAATCAATTTCCGACTTTCAGCAACAATTAATAAAAGGCAACAACAACAACAACAAAAGTATAATACAAATAAAATAAAATATATATGAAAACAAACATCTAAATGCATATACGTTCATTCATAGCTAACAACATCTAGAACACGTTCATAATCATCATTCATCATCATTCATTCATTCATTCATTCATATTCATAACCATAACAAATGAAAAATGTAAAACAGAACAATAAAAAAAAGTGAATGTAAAATGTAAATTACGGAGAGAGTTTTTATTTCTTATTCCAAGTTGAAGAGAGAGACAAAAAAGCCAAAGACTCAGACAACAAACTTGCATGAAGGATTGTCGAGAGATTGTAAAAAGAGAAGCCTTATGAGTAATGAGTGTATTATCTATGCTGCCATTATCGACCGATCACTCATACATGACAAATATTGTATATATACTCATGTTCAAGTCTCTGAGATGATGTCTGCCCTTTCGTTTGGAATAGGTTCTCTATCATTTCCACACTTGATTTTTGGTTGGCCTCTTTTTAATCTTGAGCGAACGTCGAAACGAATTTGGAGCAGCATCATTTGCTCTTTTTGAGTGAAATCATATGGACTATAAAATGCGAAGACTGCAGCAGCACTTGTTCAGTCGTTTCGTGCAGAGGAGTGAGGGATGAGCTGTGTTCTACTTTGGGACTTGGTATTTATTTAGTAATAATGTATTTTATAAGAATAATATTAATAATAATAAATTGAATGATGGTGTTTATCATAATGAACTTTACTATAATATTGTTGCTAGGTAACTGTAATATTTATTTTAAATATGAATATTTCATCAATTGTGATTATTAAATTAGCATGAATCATAATTATTGTTTGCAAAATTATATACACATTTATTTTCAGCGGAAGGTAAGCTTAACATACATATGAACATATTTACATCTACTTACATATATGAATATTATAATACATTCTAAACATTCAATATTAAACTTCTAAACACAGGCAGAACACGGTAATGCCAGCCCCACCCTAAATACATATTGTATATGCAAAACTATATATTATTATATACAATAAATATGTATATCGTCTATAATTGTGCAACTGGCCAAGATGGGCTAAACGCGTACCCGTAATTCCCACTGAACATAAAAATATCGCACATATTACAAACTCACATACACACACCTACACATACACAGAGCTAAGCATAAATCGCGCTCCATGCTGCTTGCGCGACGCATACTAAGTGCGCTTAGAGACGTGCCCAGCCATGAGCTATGGGCAAAGTGTGGGCGCCTCTCTCACGTTACAGTTACAACGATAGTCGTGGAGCTGAGTGGTTTATTGACAGAATATATAAATACAAAAATAAATAAATATAATAACTCTTAGATGTATATGTATGTGTATATATAAATATATTTCTGTATGTATGTCAATCACTCGTCCTCGCCCACAGTTATCCAAACATCTTTTCGTGGCAGGATTGTGGTTGTTGTTGTTGTTGTAGTTCTTTTTGTCGTTGTCGTTGGTTTTGTTGGTTTTGTCTGTGGCTTTATTGCCTTCACCGTACTTGCCACAATTTGAGGCGCCACAGTGGTTACCTCATCTTTGCGCACGGGATGACTCGTGTCCGTATGGCGATAGATGGAGAAAAAGGTTTGTATGCGTTGTATTATCCTCTCCAGCAGCGGCGGAAACTTGTGCTCCACACCATCGCCGTACATCTTGATGTTGAGCTTCGCGTGCTCCTGGTTTGAGTGCAGCTTCAGTGCTTGCAACACGCTGCGTAATAGCAGAAAATTCTGTATATCGCCGCCACTCTGATTCTGTGGATGCTCCAAGATCAAAGTGCCATTCGACTGCAGCTCCAGATAGCCAATCTCCTTTGTATCCATTCCGATGGCATTGCTCGTCTCGTCCAGCTCGAGGGGCACCACTGCCGCTTGCAGCGCCGAAGGCGAAAGCATCAGAAGTAACAGCAGCGTCTGCATCAGCGCTGCCTTGATCTGCATCTTGAAGTGGTTTATTTTCCTTTATTTGCTGGTAAACCTGACGGCGGACAGCTCCGATCGGCCAGTCGCTTGGTATTGCACTGGTTTTGACTTTACTTTAGCTTTCGCACTTATTTCAACTGCTGCTGTTGCTTCTTCTTCTTCTTCTTCTTCTTTGGCTTCGAGCCCTGTGTGTGTGATTGAGCGCTGTTTGCTTTGGAGCCATTTGCTGGGCACTGCGAGTGTGTTTACCTGGCGGGCACCGGGCCAACTTTGTTTATTTGACATTTTCCGTTGCTCACCTGGCTCTCGGCGCTCTCAGTGCGCTTCGACTTGGCTGTTTGAGTTAGTTATTTGCATTGAAGTTTCGAGCTATTTGTTCATATCTTGTTACACATTAATACATCTATTTGCCATTTGCGTATACGTAATATTTAATTTGTCGGTTCAAAACATTTCCAAAATGAACTCGGGTGTATCTCAGTTCACTTCTCATAAGGAATTCAATAAAGCGGCATTATTATAATAAAATATATTCATATTTAAATATGAGCGACAGTTGCACAGCGTAAACCGGCTTTACGAAAATTAGGTCTGCGTTTTTATTTAGACTTTTGCATCATCGGCAAATAAATAAATAAGAAACAATAAACTTATTTACAGAATGTCTAAAAAGGAATTAAGAATGTGGCAAAGTGATTCACTGAATATTAGATGTCACACATTTGTTTACCCGAAGATAGAAGTCAGCATACTCAACGTAAATTCCAGAAATTGTTTATAACTATTTATATAAGAAATCACGAAATAAGACTAAGTAGCATAGATTAACTTTGACTAGTTTGTTGCTCATTTCGTTGTCAAGAACCAAGTCTTAACCTGTTGCTGATTCATTCAATATTTGGAACCTTTTTTGTGTGCCCTGAAGCCATAGCGGTTAGAAAGAGTATTTAGTGTTTATTTGTCAATCATGTGAACTATGATAAGCTCTTAATCAGTTTGACTAGTTGAGCACTAGCTATGTAGGTCTATCTGTTTATTTACCTGTCTAAATGTTCCTCTGCGTGACGTTCTGTATAAATATATATTCTTATATATCGTGTAAAGTACTTTATGGTATATACTTAATAATATACTCTATAAATAATAAACATCATTAAAGTTAGAGATTATGATATACAAGCAGCAGTTCCTTGAAAAAAATCTAAAGAACCGCCAATGCTTGATTGACACAGCGAGTCTGCAAATGATGAGGGTATTTCCCAGTCTATCATTCCTAATTAGTGCTCCCATAGTTTGTTTTTGAATCTGTATATCTTTTGTATTCTTTTCAGCTAATGAAATTCAGTCAGCAGAACGTAAAAGTAAAAAAAAATCGCCATTTGCGTCTATGAACAGCGATAAAAAATAACATAAGCTAAAAATACGTTTTTAATATTATTAATGGTCAATAAGTTGCATAATGAAATATATACATAACATACATATATAATATTGATATTTGTTTTGGTATAAATTACGTAGAGCCTGGCTGTCTGGGTGGGAAATGAAAATTTGTTTTAACGGTCAGCTTCAAATGCTTGAGGCGTGCTTCTTACCTATTATTTAAATAGCAATATCATTTCTGTAATTGTAATTGTAATTGAGAAACTGCGCAGTTTGTTGTGGACAGCTCAAAGCTGAGCCCTTGCACGACTTACAAATCCCAAAAAAAAGCCAACAGAATGTAAGTCAAAAGACTTAGGCAACAAACTTGCGGAATCGCAGTCAAGCAGCTCTCATTGCTTGAATTACCCACTCGAATTGACATTTGATAGCGCATCTGGGAGAAGATACGATTAATTATGCATACATACATACATATATGTTCATCTGTAGCAGAGACAAGTCAAGTGCTCGTCTGCCTGAGCTTCCGCTGATCGTTTCTACAGGAAACCCGAACCCCTAGAGCTAAAGCTAAAGCTGTACATTTTGCATTAATTAGAAGTGAAAAAATTGATGGAAGTATTCAAAAATTATTTAATACAAAATAAATCATTGCCAGCATATAGCAAACGCAAACGTGGTTGGCCACGCGTATACCCAATGCCCAAAAAGCTGTTTCATATCCAATTGATATTTCCTTAAGAGATGAACAGGTTTTAGATGCCTGTCACTAAGTAAGATTACTTGATATGATATGAGCCAAATTTAGTATATTATCGGCTCAGAATATGTTAGACCTAACGTATCGTAACCACAAGATTAAAAATAGCCCACATATTTTACTCGTAATTTGCTTACCTAAAACTTATATATAGCTAGTAACTTAGAAAGGCGTTTATGAACATGTGCTTAACTCAGATATTGTTGTGTGTGAGGGAAAACCCCAAAGAACTCGTTCTGCTATACTTGAATTATACTTACGATCAAATATGATGTATACATAATACAAATTTAATATTATAGCATGTATAATGTAACATTAATATAAAATAATATGTGATCTTCGCGAATCTTCGGGTTGTTTCAAAAAATTCTTTTTTTTATAAATATTGTCGTTTTTAAAATAAAACAGGAAAAACAAGTGTATGATATCTGATCGGCATCATACACTTATTTCTCTCAATCCTTGAATCCTACTTCCAGTAATCTTAGCTGGTGATCTTGCTCAGCTCTTCGTACATGCTGATTCAAGTAACGTGAAAGCTTTAAGCACAACCAATATTAAGCAGCTAAATTCATTATAATTCTTGAACAAGTAATATGATAAATAATTATAAAATTATTTTAGAGATTCTCGTATACTTTTATATCATATGGCGGGTATAAAAACTACCTATCAAATCGTCTCGAAGCCAGTATATACTACCCCATTCCACATCATATATAGGGTATCAGTCAGAGATCAATGAGATAACTGACAGCCGTCGAGCTAGCCAAAATGCCACTTAAACTACGATAGACACTTGCGGGTGCGCTTACAAAACAAATATTCTATGAACTACAACAACGGCAACAACAACCAAAAGAGAAAGATGATAATAAAAAAAAATGGTAAAATAAATATTATTTAATAACTAATTGAGCATTTGGATGCTCGCATACATACAATTAATGATGTGAGCAAAGCAGACACAGAACAGCAAAAGCAACGCGTGAGAAGTGTGAATTTTCAGCTAAGATGAACTTCAAATTGTTGTTGATGCTGAGCCGATGCTGATGCTGACGCTGAGTAAGAAACCGGACAGAAGCGACGAGCACATCTTCATTCAACGTTCATTTGTTAATTTTATGCAAAACAACAAAACGTATTGTATAAAAAAAAATAAAACGGAAAACAACAAACTGCGAAGCAGAGTTAGTATAAAAGCCTTGCGCTAAAGTTATTTAGTTATTAGTAAATCGACAACAGTTCAAGCAACAGCAGCAGCATCCAGAACAGTGTTTGTTAAACAATAAACTATACACTATATATACCATATATATATATATATAAATATAAATATATCAAGTGATAATCAAGTTTCGCAATGAAGTGCTTTATATTAGCCGCCTTTTTGCTGGTTAGTAGCCCAAAATATGAATCGTGTTAGTGTTTTATCATTATGCATATGAATTGGCAACAAGTTATGAGCTTTGGATAAATAATGCGACATCTATGGATCTATTCAATTAGAAGTCCGGGTTGTAAAAATGTCAAATGTGCAAATATAAATGTCTCTGACGTCTATTTGCCACGCGTATCATTTATAGATGTGCAAATTGTGTTACACGTTCCGAGGAAGTTGACCAAATGACATCATCATCATCATCATCGTCATCATCAAGATTGAAGTTCATCAAAAAGCTGTGAAGCGTGGCACATTTTACAACCCATTAATTCTTAACTTTTCGGGTTTCTTCTTATAGGTGAGCTGCGCCAGCGCCGAGAACATCTTTAAGATTAACATCACGCCAGAGGAGGCACAACAGTATCTGAACAGCGCTCAACTGCGAGGCGTTAATGAGATCGAATATGCGCCCAAGACTGGGGAAAATCCCCTGCCCGAGGCACGCAACGAGAAGGGAGAATTCGTTTATATGGGCCGTGTGATTGAACATCCCGAGGATTATGTGGAGGAGCACTACGATGCGCATCAGTACCATGGCCAGGATGGTCTGGGACAGTATGTGTATGGCTACAAGGACTGGAATCAGGGCAAGAACGAGAAACGCGATGATGCTGGTACCGTCACTGGCTCCTACAAGTATGTGCAGCCACATGGTCGCGATTTCATTGCCAAGTACTATGCGGACAAAACTGGCTTCCATGTTGAGGACAACCGCCCGGCGCATTTGAAGCTGCCAGCAACCAAGACACCCGCCGTGCTGAAGGCCGAGGAGGAGCACTTCAGACTGTGGGGTGAGCTGGCCGCTGCCGCTGGCCACAATCCCGATCCGTTTGCTCCCGAATACCAGACGGGCGAGGGCGCCTACCAGCCCAGCGAGGCAGAGACTCGTGAGTACGTGCACGACGAGAAGCCCTATGTGCCCGGACCAGAGGAGACGGGCGAGCCCAAGGGCTTCTTCTACGCCTTCGACTACAATGTGCCGCTGTTGCGCAACAAGGCGGAACGCGAGGAGCTCGAACGCCTGCGCGCCATCAACAACAAGGACGAATAGGGTGCTCCTTGACGTAGCTAATACTCACATAGAAAATAGCCTAACTCTAGATATTTATTCAATGATATATTAAATAAATCCAGCAGCTATTACAATTCTCAAATACGTTCTGTTTTCTTGATTTTATTGTTACATATACATATATATAAAATGTGGTTTGGTTGTTTTTGTTTGCTTAAATTGTTGTTTTAAACCGTCCACTTGTATAATTTTATTTGTTGTTAATCTTAACACATTAGTTGTTGTTTTTGTTGTTGTTATACGTTCTTTACATTTACATTTTGTATTTTTGTTGTTGTTTTTTATTTTATTTTATTTTTTTTTGCTGCTTTTCAAGTAAAATTATTGCTTTCTTGAACTTAAATTAAGTGTTTTTTTTTATAAGCATTCGAATCAATAATTTTTAATATTTTCGTTTTCTTTGTTGTTTTTTTTTTCGACAACCAGCTAAAACTAAGTTTTAATTTAATTAAATTATTTAATTAATAAATCGATTAATCAATGCTTTAGTTTTTTATTATTTTCATTTCAAGTTACAAACACAATTTTGTAATTATTATAAAAACGTACTTTTGATTTTAAATATTTTTGTTCTTCTTTTCTATAAATGCAATGCCATTGTTTCTATGGCACTGAAGGCTGGCGAAATGCATTTTAGAGAGAAAAACGAAACAAAACAAATCTCTAAACTGAGACTCAAAAAGTTTTATAGCATGCTTTTGGGCGTTGCATAAAATATATTTTATCAAATTTTTATAGTACTCTTGCAAAAGGCAATATTTAATGAGACAAAAGTAAAAGCCAAAATTTTTTTTGAAAAGAGTTTACATTTTGTTTCGTTAGATTTTTTAAAAGATATTTCCTTTAGCTCTATTTTGAAAGAGTATCCAAACTTCGGCTGACCAAAGTTAACTGATTTGTTTATTCGATTTTCAGTATATATATATATTTTTTTTTGTAATTATGTTGAAAATAGTTTTCGATGTTAAAAACAAAAATTTGATTTTCAAATGAATCACAATTGAATTTTCGTTTTAAATGAAAAGCAAACATTACAAATGCACACATATGTACTCGTATACTCGCCTATATGCGTTGTGTATATATACTTATATACATATATATACGGATATATATGCTTGTACATATGTATGTGATTTATATATGGCAGCTTTGTTCAGTCCAATATTGAGTTTTTTCTTTTGCACATTAAGTTCTATTAAATTTTCACTGCATTTTTGTGGTTTAAATATATAAATATATCGAGAGCTCTTGAAGTTCTGCTCAATTAGTGCGAACGACATGTGAATAGAAAATGGAAAAACAAACTTTAAATAAACAATACAATAACAATATAGAATAGAATAGATGTTTATCATATGAGTACTTTTTCTTTCAGGTCATTTGATTTGCATTACTCAAGTAATTTGGAACTGTTCTTTGACTACTGAAGTAATTAACTTTAGTTGATATTGAAATAAGGCAAAACAAAGCATTTAGAAATAGAAAACAATATATAGCATCTCATATGGATAATAGTGATAATGCAAGGTCACAAAAAAGGTACTTTATAGAGCCTGCGTCGTCGTTCACACGAGTTTAAACTTCAAAGAACCGAAAAAATAAAACTTGGAGATCATTTGAGCAGAGTGGTATAGGAAAAATGAATGCGTAATACTTGTACAGCTGGGTTCTATTTTCTATTGTATCAATAGGCCCTCGCTAGTCTAATAACTAGTGGATGATAAGGGTTTTCGTGCAATGTCCATTGCTGTGTGTGTGCGTGTGATTTTCTTTTGTCTACATATTTCTGATCATAATTTGGCGCATGAGTTTCTTTTTACGATTGCCATTGATTGGTTTGATGACCTAATATTTAAGTTCTCTATTTTACTTATTTGCTTTTATTTTCCGTTTCTCTCTCATTTGGTTTGTATATAAGGCAAACTGTATGCGAAACATACAAATATTGAACTATATAAATACTTGATTTTTATATTTGTTAATCTTTACGTATGCCGGGGAAGAATTATGGAGAAACTATGGATGACAAACCCAGACAAATTGGGCGCTACATATACATACATACATAAAGATATGTATATATACATATATGTATTTGAGTTTGAATGGAGCATGGCACAATATTATATTTTTCTTTTTTCAGATGTTATTACACTGAGAGTCTGTCGATTTGCCTTCAAAAATTGACTGATACAACGGTATATATTGTATATATATATTCATATATAAACGTACTTTGTATACATATATATGTATATATGTATATATATGTATGACTTATGTAAATCTCGTATATATTAAATGTCCACGACTCTAAATACTCCTAGGTGCTAGTGAAGTGCTAGTGCTACCCGAAAGGTAGTTCTCTCTCTACTCATTACTCGTATCGTGCCTGTTTACTCGGATATCCTTTACTCTTCCTACTTATGAAACTTTATGTTATCATTGTTATCAGTTATACTTAACTACTTGGCCACAGCAGCCGCTGCCGATGCTGCACTGGGCGCCACTTTCAGCTTGATGAACATATTGTTGTCGTTGTTGCTGCTATTCAGGTCGAGTTTCTGCACCTCGCACTCGAGATTGTTGATGCAGTTCTTCTCGTACTGTGTGGTGCCATTGTCCGTGGCTGTTTTGTCACTGGGTGCTTGCTCGCTGGGTGCCACCTTCTTCTCCTTACTCTTCTTCAGCGCATTCAGCAGGGTTTTCTCTTTGCTCTTGCTCTCCTTGTGATTGCCATCCTTATCCTTGTGTTTGTTATTCTTGAAGCGCGGGAATATGCAACCGTTGGGCAAGAAGCCACCAAGCTTCTCCTTCTTTACTGGCGCTGCTGGAGGTGGCGTGGTTGCGGGAGGCGTGGGCGTAGGTGTAGCTGTGGGCTGAACAGCAGCAGCGTTTGGCGTTGGAGCTGTTGTCACATTTGTTGGAATACTACAACCATTGCTGGTAGTCGTATTAGCAGATCTGCTCTCTGGCTCTTGTGTCACTTGCTCGACTGTTGATAGAGACTCTGAAGCAGATGGAGATCCGCTGTTACCATTAACAACGACACCCGCATCCGTTTGATCACCGCAAGAATCGCCAGGCGTTGACTCGTTGCTACCCGCTTGTTGCTCTTGCTGCTGCTCATCCGACTGTTCACTGGCTACCTTGTTATCCAACTGCTGGGCAAATACGGCCAGTGTAATGCCATTCCCATGATCAGTCGTCATAAGATCGGCATTATATGCTGGCGGCAAGCCGATCTCCGATGCATTTGACTGAGCAGCGCTTCCAGCACGCATTGCATCCGGTGACTTGGGAAACATTTGTTGCGTAGTGATATTTTGATAGTGCTGCTGTTGGCGCTGCTGTAACATTTGCTCTTCACGCTCACGGTCCCGCTGCGCCTGCACAGCATTCCAGACATCCTTAAGCTCGCCCGAAATGTCACGATCCTTGAGTATGACGGCGTTTCTGTAATAAATGAATTTTATTTTGAGTCCTCAAATGGAAAAGCAACGCCATACGCACCTGACTAGTTTCACGCCAGGATTCATAGCCTCCACAAAGTCGCACATTAGCTCCACCATAGCGCGTCGTTCCTCTGGATCCTTGCTATGGCGTCCCGAGTCTTTGAGCACTTCAGGATTCGCCATAACGGCAAACACAATTGGAGGACTGCGCGGGCTGCCAGGCGGCACCTATTAAAACAAAATCATTAAAGAGCTGTAGAAGATATTCGTTGTAGCTTGTACTTACGCGCATGCCTCCATACAAAGGTATTGGATCACTGGGCTCCTGTGGTATGACAATACGTGTCCAACTTAGCACATTGATAAACAACTCCTCGCCAGTTTCAGTGGTGGTGCGAATGCACATGTGGGGCTGTGGCGGGTTTTTGAAGTGGCGATAGGCTCGTGAGTGTCGATAGCTGTGTGGTGGTGGCGATGATTGCATCAGTGTCATCCCCAACCCCATATCGCCCTGTTGCTCTAGCTGTTGTTCTTGCTCCTGCTGTGCATGTTGTACATGTTGTTGTTGCTGCTGTTGCATTTGCGCATGCTGCTGCATATTATTATGCTGCAGCTGTTGTTGCTCCATATCAATGTTGTAGTTGTTGCTTGATGTCATAGTCTCAATGGTTTCTTCTAGGTCTATGCCAAAGGTATTGGCTTCAGCATCATTGGCAGTGCTGTTATTGTTGCTTGTATGTTCGTTATGTTGTTGTTGTTGTTGTGGTTGTTTCGATTGCTGCTCCTGTGCGGAACTTTCAGTCTCAAGCTCCGCGGCCGACATTTTCGGTTTGTATTTATTTTATGGTTGTTATTATTTGAGTTGCTTTTGTTTGTTTATTAGTTTTAAGCAGTCTTTTGTTTTGCCCTCCTCTGCTGCTGTTTCTTAGACGGGTTTTTCGTGCTCTTCGCTCTTCTCTTTGTTCTTATCGTGTACACTCACACCAACATGCGCTCGTTCTCTTTCTCTCTCTCTCTCGCTCTCTTATTGCTGTCGCTGACTTACAACATTACGGTGTCTTGGTCCTGTTTTCAGCTTAACTTTTGACCTTTTGCTCTTATTAATGTGTGTGCATATTACGCGTCGTCTTCTTTGACATTTACTCTGCATATATATTCAATTATATATTGCCCGCAAATACAAGCCTTATCGTGCACGCAGTAACACACACGCACACACACTAGCGCACAGACACAGCAGTCAAACTCCCTTCACCCCTACAACACGTACAAGTGGGAGGAGTTGGTCGTTGTCGTTGTCGTTCTCGTTGTCTGCGAAAGAGTGGGGGGGAACGTGTAACAAAAAGAAATCAAGTAAATGGTAAAAGTGCAAAAGAAGCGCATCTGTATTTTCATTTTTTATTGTTACACTTACACATTTCACGCGTTTTCATTAATAATAATGGTTTTCCAGTTTCATTGCACAATACACATACAGAAGCACACAATGTACATACATATACACACAAACAAAAACTGCGTTTCTGCTTCACATAATTTTTCCTCATCAATTGCTGCTGCCTACTGACTGCACTTAGAAAACAATGCACCGACAGACGGCCGCGCGCTGCGCTGATTTTTATATTTAGCTTTTTAGCAGCTTTTCATTGCGGCACACATACAAAACAGCCGAATTTTCCGACGACTTCCCAACATAAACAAAAAACTAATGTAAATGTATCCAGAGTGACCAGTCACCTGTAATGTGTATATTTCGTGCTGCCAGATAGTTAAAAAATTGGCCATTCGCTATCAAACAGTGTACCCAATGCCGGCGCATTATAGAAATTTCAGTGTGTACCCGTCTTTGGTATATTCTGCACTCTCTGCCGGTGTGGATATTTTTTGCAACCGAAAAGCAGAAATAAAAGATAAAAATTAACACATCGAAACATCAAAGTGTTAGAAAACAAACGAATTAATTGGAAAACTATTCGAAGTGCCGTAGTGTGCAAAATAGATAAGGGTTGACCAATTGAGATTTGGCGCCGAAATAGTAAATTTTTCTATTGCCATTGCGGCATTGTGTGGTGTGTATAACAAGATGGCGTCCTCGCAAGTCTCAAACAAATCGGGCTCCGGCTGGCCCCGACGCGGTAGCCAAGGCCAAGCGGATGCCAGCATTAGCAACAATGGTACACAAAAATATGCTCCGAATCAGGCATTAACCATAAATCGCACAATCAATCTGTGAGTAGTGCCTTTATCCAGTTGTATAGAAGAAAAATTACACTTACATTTGTTCAACCCTTTAGTTACCCATTAACGAATTACACATTCGGTACCAAGGAGCCGCTCTTTGAGAAAGATCCATCTGTGCCGTCACGTTTTCAACGTATGAGAGAAGAATTCGATCGAATTGGCATGCGTCGCTCTGTAGAAGGTGTGCTCTTAGTGCACGAGCATGGTTTACCTCATGTACTCTTGCTGCAGCTCGGCACCACATTTTTCAAGCTGCCAGGTGGTGAGTTGAATGCGGGTGAGGATGAGGTTGAAGGTCTAAAACGATTGCTTTCTGAGGTACGTTGGTAAAAAAGAATCAACCTATAAACATATCAATAATAATGTAATATGCTTTGCAGACGCTGGGCCGTCAAGATGGTGTTAAGCAGGATTGGATTGTTGAGGACACGATTGGCAATTGGTGGCGCCCCAATTTCGAGCCACCGCAATATCCATACATTCCACCACACATAACTAAACCAAAGGAACACAAGCGACTGTTCCTGGTGCAGCTACACGAAAAGGGTAAATATCCAATCCGCTAGCCAATGGTGTTTTTCGCAGCGTAGGTATTAATGATGGCAAAAAAAGACAAGTACATTTATATATATTATACATATAACCTTGTATAAAGTTTTTGCCAAACCGATACGCTAACAAACCTCATGTCATATCTTTTCAATGCTGTTTAGATACGGACAGGAACGCCAGTTACGATGTACCCTGAGCTGTTCCATAATAGCGCCGTGTTGTGTTGTGTAATCTCACGCATCTGGCATCTGCCCAACCAAGCATAGAGCTCTTCCTCAACGCTCTACTCTCAAGAGTCCAAAACAAACAGAAATGAAAAGAATCAGAAACAGATCACATAATGGCCCCGAGGCGCATACAATTTTAATTAGTTCGTCGATTCTAGTTCAAAACTTTTTGTACAAAAATTTTACTTCAAATTGTATTTGTTGCTCTCTAGAGTTGTTGGCATATTTTGCGCTTATCCCAAAATTCTTTGATTGTTCATGTTGTATTAATTTTGTAAATATGTCGACATTTCTGTAAACCAGAGAGCGCAATCCTACACACGATACTCTATCTAATTTGTTTATTCTTTTGGATTGTTATGTGTTGAGCCGTTCTATTGTAATCGGGCAGGCAGTAAATAGTTTAGTTGAGAAGTGCATTGTAAAAGTTGCCGGTTGTCGTCTGTTAATGCGCACAAATCTCGCGTGTTGTGCTGATTTGAGTGCATTGCAAATGCAACTGGACTAGGCAGGCAGTCGTTACCCACTCCTTAAATAATTTTTAAGCACTCGTTTATGTAACAATTTAATAACTGTGTTTATAGTATTTCCTTGACATCATCCATTGTGCAACACTCGCACCCTGTATAATGTATGTTGCTTTTAATGGTAATTGAAATTATGTTCATATCTACTAGACTTTGTTTAATGCACAAAATGCTATAAAATTCATGTTTATTAAAATATATGATTTATTTGGTGCATCAATAACGAAGTCTAGTAAATTAGCTTAACGAACTATAAATGAATGTAAAAACAAACAAAAAGAAATGAAAACTACCACAAAAACCAATACAAACTTTTATATATCATACTTAATTATGGCAGCGAATCTGTAAATTGTTTTGTATAACCAATTGTAATTATTTAGTTATTTCAATAATCATGTGATTTACAACCCTTGTTATATCTAATGGTCTCTTCTACATACATAAATTCTGTCTCTATCGTTTTCTGTAATCTAGCACTATTTGCTGTGCCCAAAAATTATAAGCTTGTTGCGGCGCCCCTATTCGAGTTGTACGACAATTCACAAGGCTATGGACCCATTATATCATCGCTGCCGCAGGCGTTGTGCAGGTAAGAATCGTATTGGCAGGGATTCTTTCTTCATTTCTCTATTTATTTTTAACATATTTTTAATCTTCATTGCAGATTCAACTTTATCTATATGTAAAGCAGAGGCGGAGACCCCCCACTTTTCCCTAGATAGGCTGCATCACCAACGATAGCTCTACTTTAAAAAATTTAATGCACCTCAGCTGGGCGCGTCGCCAGGAGATGATTTCCATTTCATTTGTATATGTGTGTGTGTTTGTATAGCAGATTAAATGCAAAAAGACCAAGCGTATTGTGGCTTGGCGTATAAATAGAACTTGAAAGTTTATTTTATTTATTTTGGACTATTGCATTTACTTAACTAGGTATTACAGAGTATATATTAATTGGTTCAAGAAAATTGATATTTTAAGTATGTTAGGGTCACTTATAGCATATATTCGCTATAAATTTGCTCGTAATAATCGCGTTTGCTGCAATGGAAGATACGCACAGTTTGTGATTATCAAAAGTATTCACTAATATACTAAGTTATGCATGTGACTGCTGTTAACTAAATTGAACTACAGACTGTAATTGATGCTGGACTAACATTTAACTGCGCTGTTGAGTGCGAGGGTGTAACAAATGAACTAATTAACAGAGAACTAAAGAGCATTGCAAGCGAACAACAAAAGTGAGCTAAAACAAGAAGGAACCGTTTGTGTCTGTATCTAGTATTTGTTAATAATTATATCTTAAATGTTATTTGCTTATTAATTGGTATGCATATTTTATGTTTTTATGACACGTACAAAAAATGTAAACATATTAGCAAATATTGCTTGCAAATCTATGCTGACTGATATTTCGTGTAGACGAGTTTACCACAATTTATTGTGATAGAATTTTAGATCGTTATAGCCCTGATCGGTCAAGCCGCCAGTTGATGACACTGTGGACATGGCATCTGTGTTGTCCTGGACGGGCGAAGTGATTTCATTGCCCAGAGGACGATTGATCTTCACTACACCAAAATCTTCGCGCTCCTCTTGATTGAACTCCATCTTGCCGGTAGGCATAACGGCCATGCCCACGCCAAAAGAGCGATTCTTCATGCCAGTGTGCTGCTTGCTCAGCTGAAATGCTGGTGCCCTACGATTATCCCCAATAATGCTCTCGGCAGCCTCTGGCGAGCGCACTTTAGGTGGAGTCGGGGTTTTACTCTTTGGAGGTGGTGTTGGTGGAGTGATCACCTCCTCTGGCTCTGGCTCTGGCTCTGGTTCAGGCTCCGGCTCTGGCTCCTGCTCCTGCTCCAATTCGTATTCGATATGATTTTCGACCGCCTGCAAATGCTGCATTTGCAATTGTTCAGCAATGTCTGCAATCTCGTTGCCTCTGTTGGGAAAGTTAACAGAGGCTGTTAAATAACATACTACACGAGGTACTAAATAAAATTTGAATTTGATTTCATGTTGATTTTATTGCACGGCAAATGAAAATAAATAAAGTATAAAAAATTGCGAAAATCGAAGGAGTAAATGTTAAAATAAAAAAAAAATTTACATAAATGTAATCACAATTATCAGGTATTTTGTGTGTAACGGTCGAGCGATCGAACCAATGTGAGCGTGTGTGATATGTGTCTTAGTGATGTGGGTGTGCGGCGAGTGCAGCCTCCTTTCCTCTTCGTTAATATTAACTATAAGGCAAAATTATAAATAACTTTCTATAAACAAATAAGAGCTTTGTACAATTGTTTAGTTAACATTATATTGTTTTGTTTGTATGTAATGCAGCCACTGGTGCGTATGCGTAATTATTTGGTTCTGAAAGATAACAAAAGAAAAGTAAATGAAACCAAAAATGAAACGCAGATCAAACAAAAACGATAAAACATATACTCGACAAGTGTTAGTTAAGAAATATGGAGAAAGGTGAGCCAACCGGCTTTACCTGTTAGACTCTGCGCTGCCTCCACCGCCGCCCTTGCCGGAACTAGCGCTGCCAGCATGAATTATCTGCACAACAAAGAGATGAGAACGAAATATATTAGAGACAAACACAATAGAGAACTGGGTCATATTTGCTTACTGAAACATTAGGGGTAGTATTATATTATATAGCCAAATCAAAAACCAAATTCAAATTAAATAGCTCGATTAAACTAAATTCATTTAGCTTAGCAAGAATACCTTTGTAAATAGCCACTCACACATACACGCATTTAAATGAACGAAAACAAAAAGCTTTCATATTATATAGTTTTAGTGGATAGCCCGTCTCCTCCACCGCTGCTAACGCCTTGAATCTAGCACAAGTGTCAAGCGAAGTTTTATTTTCTACACGAGTCGCCCTTAAAACAGCCCCTTGGCACGCAGCCAAAATAACTGCTTCTTTTTAGGGGTTGACCCACAAAAATAAAATGGCCAACCCCAAAAGATTTTTCGGAATTTGTATGAAATAAAATCTGTAGTTTATTTACAATGAAATTTCGAGTCAGAGCATGGAAGCTTTAGCTGTTCTAGCAAAAAAAAAAGAAGTAGTTATTCATCTTTCGACTTGGGCAGACTTGGTCGGAAAAGGTGAACAGGGAATTTTGTATAGCTATGTATATATGTTGTGTCTTTGCTA